TACCCTACACACTGTTCTCTAATTTTTTGAATTTAATAAGTTTTGTAGCTGCTTCCATTTCAATCACACAGCACTTCCTCTTTTTTTTTTTTTTTAAAGATACAAGTATCCATTGTCCAGATACAGAACAATTTTAAAACTCAGCACTTCTTTGGACATGTGGGTTGTTTCTAGTCTTGGCTACATAAACCTCTCTGCACTGCCCATCTTCATAGCCTCTTCATTTCACACAGTATACACATACATGCTCTGCAGAGGAAATTCTCAGAAGTGAAATTACTAGGTCAAAGGTCAGAAGTTTTTAAAACTTCTGAGAGTTATTGCCAAACTGTACAGATTTCATTCCTCTTGGCAAAGCAAGAGAGGACCTGTTTACATCTGGGATTTAAGACACTGGGAGGCCCTGGCCCCACCTCATAATCCCTATGTGTGGGGCCTGGCATCTGCATTAGGATCCTCACAAGGGGAGTCTGAGCCAGAAACTCTCCTCATCCTCCAGCAAGTCCTTTTCCCTCAGGGATGGGTCCCAGTGCAGTAATCATGGTCACTGTCCTCCAGGCCAGACAGGCTTCAGTTTCTCCCAGGCATTCTGAGCACCACAGGAGTCCAGACTGTCTAGACAATGCAGGTGTTTGGAGTCCCGGGTCCTGGTGAGCAGATATTTTGTCCTCTTGGGGGTCAGTGCTTTTTCTCTAGGTCATGGCTAGAAAACATGCATTTTCTACTTCAATCCAGGTGGCCTTCTGTTAAGGACTGCAGCACAGACCGTACTGGGGTTATAACCACAGGCACAGTATACGGAGAAGGTCTGGAAGAAAAAAGGAGAAAATGGTTAGCAGTGAAGAGACACTCAGTGATATTTTTAAGGTCCATTATTTTTTTACAATGTTTATATTAAAGACAAAACAGATAAAACTGCATCTCCAACAAAACCCACATATCTCTGTGTGGCCCTGGTGTATGTTTGTATATAACTGTCCTCTGTGACTGCCTGGAGAGGGCTGGCAGAGTTGGCCATATTCTGCCACTTCTGGCAGAGGGTTGGGGCCGTAAGGGGCCCATGTGGTAGTGGCAAGTGGGCTTTGCCCTCCTCTGTTCTGGGCAGAGCTCTGTGGACATACAAACAGACCAGCACTCCCTGTGTGGAGCCAAAAAACAGATGGCCCATCTCACTGGCTGGTGGAATATTCTTATTTTGTCGGTGACAGCTATGGTCAACCCTGCCCATAGGCAGGATCTCTCAGGCATGACCCAGGCCTGTCTTGACAGCTTGACAATCAGTGAACATTTCATGAATATTTGTGAGAGTAGGAAAGAGAAGCAGTGGTCAGGGTCACCCATGTGGCATAATTATAAGAGCCCTGAGAACTTGGCCCACCAGATACTCCCTGCTAGCCCCCCATGGATCCTAACATCTGTCAGTGACCCTTCTAGCTACGCAGATCTGTCCAGTCTGAAATAGGCATCAATTATTTATTCATTCAGCAAATCTTGACTATACACCTACTAGTGCTGGGTACAGTTTTAAGTGCTGAGAATAGAGCTGTGACTAGAACAGTTGATAAATAGGCCCTTGTGAAGTTTCTATTCTGGAAAGAAGGGAGAGGCAATAAAGTAGTAATCTACTATATATTTGCATTTATAATATACATTTAGATACTATATAAGATGTGATTATTGCTATAGAGGAGAAAAACAGGCAAGGGAGAACAGAGTGGGAGGAGAGTGTAAAAATTTTAGAAACTGTGCCCAGGCATATCTCACTAACAGGGGGACAGCTAAGGAAAGATCTGAAGGAGAAGGGAAGAGAGCCATGCAGATATAAAAGGGAATGACAAGTGCAAAGGCCCTGAGGTAGAGCCTTTGCTTTCCTTTCTGTTTGTTTTTTCTTGTTCTGAATCAAAAGAAACCCAAAGGTAGGGATAATGCTTTACATGTCTTTAGAAATAATTTTGAGGCCTGGAGGTCTAGCTCAGTGGTAGAGTGCTTGCTTCGCATGTTCAAGGCCTGGGTACAATCTCTATTGTCACAATAAAAAAAATTTTGTTTTTAAAGAATTTTGATTATTTTTTCAATGTATAACCTTCTGTAGCTCTTGGATTTTGTTCACTTATAGATATTTTAGAAGGAAGGAGTTTTATTGAGCATATGCCTTAGAAGGGGGATGAACCACATAGGACACAGTAAGGTTTCCATAATTATTTGCTATTTGAGTATTTGATAAGCCCTCAGTAAACATTTGTGGTTGAAATGCTGCATGGATCCAAAGTAAGGTAGCAACATATTTAAAACATCAGGGTCCATTTTGTGTTTGTAGTGATTACTAATCCTATAGTTTTACTAATAGGTTGGCTATGTCATGGCAGGTTTATTTACTGTCATCTGAGGGGCCCTGTGTTCCTTTCCAAATCAGCCATAAGGAACCATTGATGGACCTCAGACTCGCAGTCATGAAATCACCACTCTAGTCACCTTTTATATCAGCTTCCTCCAGGCCTCCGGAGGCCCCTCAACTAGAAGAGTCAAATGTGCAACTTGTTTTCTGGAAAGAAGCATTTTCTCATTCATGCTTAGAAATCTAGGGAGATTGTAAACGGCTGTCCCTGAGCTGCCTAAAGTGGAGGCAATGGAAAGGAGTCACCTGACAAGCAAGATCTGCTGGAGTCGCGTCCTCCTTAGCTGGCTCACTTTCCGCATCTCTTTGCCCTCTCATTCGGCTGAGGGCTCACAGATGCAAGCAGGAGATTACCCAGCACTCAGCCAGTCCTGGAGAAAATACTTTTGTTTCCTGTCCAGCTGAAGAGCATGTTGTAGGGCATATTCAATTTCATAGCTGCAGACAAATTGTAAGGAAGAAAGGAAAACAATGGTGAGCATTTTTTAGAGAGTAGAAAGGTGAACTATTCGTGGTTTGGGGTAGGTTCTTACTCATTTTTCCAAGATCTAATCAATTTAGATGGTGAGGTCTCTTTTCTGTAGAGTCAAGGGACAAGGGACACACACAACCTGGAGAGGAGACAAACCAGAAGGGAAAGACTGAAGGAAGAGGGAGGGCCAGCCAGGGATCTTTTTCTATAGGCAGCTATTTGTTTTTATTATTTTGAGGTGAAGGTCTTCTTATATTGTCCAGGCTGATCTCCAACTTGTGGGTTCAAGTGATTCTCCCCCCTCAGACTCTCAAATAGCTGGGACTACAGGTATGGGCCACCATGCCTGGTAAAGGATGTGGATGTAACTTGGTGGTAGAGTATTTGTCTAGTATGCATGAGGGCCTGGGTTTGGTCCCCAGCACAGGAAAAATAAAAAATAAAAATAAAAAAGAAGAAGAAGAAGAAGAAGAAAGAAAGAAGAAGAAAAAGAAAAGCAAAAGATACATCTGGTAGCAAACTGTTGGCTTCACCTCTGCAAAGGGGGAGCATTTCAAAATGCAGTCTTGTTCCCATTGGATTGGGTTCAGAGCACAAGAGAAAGTGAATTCATGTTCTTCAAAAGCTGTCTTAGAACAATAATTTCTGTACTCAGTGACTTCAGGCACAGTAAGCCCTCAGTAAACGTTTGTGGTTGAAATGCTGCATGGATCCAAAGTAAGAATTTAGAAATCCACACAGTCTCTTTTCTCTCTCTCTCTCTCTCTCTCTCTCTCTCTCTCTCTCTCTCTCTCTCTCTCTCGTATTGGAAGTGTGCTATGTACAAAGGCCTTGCGTAGAATAAACCTCTGGGATTTTTTTCTTTCTCACTTACTTTACCACTTCTGCTCTTCAGCCTTCTACAAACCACCCATGCCCCCACTCCACACCGGCCTGCCTGTTGCTTCCCCTTGAGCCAGTCATCATTTCAACCAATTGATGATAAGAGGAAGGAAATGGCTGATTAAGAGTTCCTTTTTTTTTTTTTTTGGTATGAGAGATTGAACTCAGGGGGCGCTTAACCACTGAGCCACATCCCCAGCCCTCGTTTATGTTTTGTTTAGAGACAGGGTCTTGCTGAGTTGCTGAAGGTCTCACTAAATTGCTGAGGCTAGCCTCAAACTCCCAATCCTCCTGCCTTATCCTCCTGAGTCACTGGGATTATAGGCATATACTACCACTATGCCTGGCTAAGAATTCTCTTTTTAGAGATTAAAATAATATTGCTTGGACAGTGGGCTCTATTCTCTAATTTAATGACTAGTTTAACCACACACATAAACCATATGGTCATGGCTACCTTCACTGCAAGCATAGTGCCCAGAGGGAATTAAGTTCTCCAAATGACCTAACATTGTTAAGTGGAAAATGTCATTATGACCTTTTTTCAGTATGTTTTAAACTTGTGCTTTGTTTTTCTAATTTTAAAAAAATTATTTATTTTTTAATTAAGCAATAGAGCAAAATTGTAAAAGTTCAAAAGTTCTCCCTCCCACTCATCTTCCCCAGCCTAGTCTATCTTCAAAGGCAATGTACTAATATCCCCAAACCCTTCACACCTCTTACGCAGGTATAAGCAGATACCCACACACAAGGATAAACACACATTCCCCTCTCCTAATTTTGTTACACAAAGTAGCAGCATTGTTCTGTACCTTGCTTTTTATTTTCTTTCTTTTTTTGGACATCTTACACTATATCTTGGAAATCATTCCACATCAGTTACTGAAATGCATTTCATCGTGTATTCCAAACACACGAAGCAGCCCCACATTATGATAATTTCTTTTCTCAATACCTGGCAGTTGATTTTCATCCATGTTTTCTCCTTGCTGGTGAGTGACTTTTACCACAGGATGACTTCTAGTCACTTTCTTTGAATTGTCTTCCAGATAAAATATCTTCATAAGCATTAGTGGCTTTGCCTGGAGGATAAGTAAACAACATTATGTGATCGGGGCCCTGCAAGCACAGTGGTGTCACACTACTGTTAATTTAAACCACATCCTGAAGGAGGTCCCTTAAGGTCATAAAGTGGGGACTCCAAGAATTGAACTGTCTGCTAAGGCTATGGCATGTTTTCTCTTGTTCCAGAAACTAGAATGAACCGAAGCATTCCTGTGGAGGTTGATGAATCAGAACCATACCCAAGTCAGTTGCTGAAACCAATCCCAGAATATTCCCTGGAAGAGGAATCAGAACCACCTGTTCCAAATATAGGAAACATGGCGCCCAACAGCTTGTCTGCACCTAAAGATCCTCTCCATTCCCCAGGAGACATTCCTCAGGTTCACCCTCCCCTGAAACTTGCAAATCAATATCAGCCTATGTCCCAGCAGATCAGCTGCCTACGCTCTAAAGTCCTGGAGGAGACCGAAGACAGTTTCTTCAGGAGGCATCCAGACCCAGGCAAAGATTTTTCCTCAGGCTCCTCTGCAGCCAGTGAGCCTGAGCCTGAGTCTGTGGTCGGAGCCCTCCCACTACAGCATCAGTTTTCATTTATGGAAAAACGTCATCGATGGCTGGAATCTCAGCTTTCAGCAGCTTCTCCTGACACTGGCCATGACTCAGACAAATCAGACCAAAGTTTATCCAATGCCTCAGCAGACTCCTCGGGCAGTAGCCAAGACACGATGCCTCCACCACAGCCCCACAGGAACCGAGCAGCCCCAGATGTGCCGACGATAGACACGGGGTACGATTCCCAACCCCAGGATGTCCTGGGCATCAGACAGCTGGAAAGGCCTCTGCCCCTCACCTCCGTGTGTTGCTTTCAGGACCTCCCTGGACCTCTCAGGTCTAGAGAGTTCCCTCAGTTTGAACAGAGGTATCCAGCGTGTGCCCAGATGTTGCCTCCCAATCCCTCCCCACATGCTCCATGGAACTATTGCCATTGTCCCGGAACGTGTCTTCCCCGGGTACCATGTAAGTGATCCTCACTGCCTGTGGACATTCTGGGCTGGGTGACAGAAGAAACAAGGTCCTACATCAATACCTCATGTCACTAGACCAGCACAGACATGTCCAAATGTAGAGAGGCCTTCCATGTGTGGTTAGATTTGCAAGGGCCTTGAGAGGATGCTTTTTCTTAGCCCAAACCTATCTCACATGGAACCTTCTCAGGAAATTTTAAGGACAAAGTAGCTGCCTCTGTCTGGGTTAGTTTACCTGAAACCTGCCTAAAGGTAGAGAGCTGACCCAAATGATTTCTAGAAAACTTATCTGTTGTTCATATTCTTGGGCTTTTGGGTTCTTCTTTCTCTTCATTCTTCTTCCCTTAGATGTGGCAGAGAAAGGGTGTGGGAGGGGCATGGATGCCACTGGCTGCTCTGATTGCCCAGTCACAGCATGGGTGTGGTGGTAGATTCCCTTAAGTATGACTCACTGAGAACTGAACTTTGGCAAGTCCAGGCCTATGTTTATTTCCCAGTGATTTCCAGGTTAAAAAAGGAATACTTTATGAGCATAATACCATGAGGTACTTTTTAACATTCTGCTATCTACACTTAAAGATAATTTTTCTAGTCATAGCTATAATATTTGGTCACCTCCTCCCAACTGAAATATGTCCAAAAGCTCAAAAAAGAAAAAAGACTTGTATTTCCATTACTCAAATATAATTCCTTGTTAAGGTTCTGACATTATTTACTTCTAGTGTTTTTTTCCCTTTGCATAAAATGACATTGAGTAGTACTTCTTCCAGTATCATTTAAAAATGCTGCACTGTATGTCACCAGATAGATCTACCAAATTGTTATTAACCCATTCTCTATTTTTGGACATTTCAACTAGTTTCCAGTTTTATGATTCAGCAAGTGGTGCTACAGCAAACATTATGCACACAAGATTTTATCTGCATGTCTGATCAATTTCTTGGGTAAATGTGCAGAAGCATGAATGCTTAGTCAAAGGCTTTGTGATATTAAGGCCTGAGCTTTATCTACTAACAGTAGAAAGTCCCAGTGTCACAGACAAAGCAAGCATCTGACTCAATGTTATAATGAGGATCTCAAGAAGATCTTTGCACTGGAAAGTGTTTTTCCCATTGAAGCCTGAAATGGTGCCATTATCAATCCAGTCTTTGGAAGTAAACATTGTCCCCTCTGGCAGGCTCCTTTAAAAGACAAATACATCCAACTGGGAATGCTTCACCTCTTATACCTCAAGACCTGCTTTCTTTCATCAGTTCACCTTCCCTTCTGTTTTATTTCCTTCTGTTGACTTGGAAGGGGGATGTTTAGGATCCTGGGAGTGCAGAGGGATGATGAAAGGCAGACAGGACAGAACTTGGACAGGAGATGGGAATAATTCACAGAAGAGGTATAAACAGCCAATACGCATAAGAAACCAAGCTTAACATTTAAGAAATGCAAAAAAATTAAAAGATACATTTTCCTTGTTTAGAGGTGCAAAAATAAAAACCTCAGACAAACCCTGGTTTTAGTGAGGTTCTGAATACTCTGATACACTTTTGATAGGCATGTAAGTTGATGCGATCTCATGGGGGGCAATTTTAGTATCAGAATTTTGCATGTGCTTCTTTGGCCAGAAGTCTCATCTGTCATACTCTATGCTGTAGAAACTTTGAACAAGTATATAAAAGAATATGAACAAGGAAGATTATTACATAACAGTGTTGCATTAGAGTACTATACTGCCTATCAACAAGGGGCTGGATGAGTACAGATGGTCCCTGACTTAAGATTTGTTGACTTTATGACAGTGTGAAATTAATAGACATTTGTGAGGCACAGCTCTCAGACAATCACATGCTCAACAAGTAAACAACCCCTGTTATACAGTGTACCATGTTGCTAAGGTATGATATTCCATAGGTTAGGTGCAGTAAATGCATTTTTGATTTGCTGTTTCCATCTTACTGTGGGTTTATTGGGGCACAGCCCTATCATAAGTCAAAGAACATTTACAATTATGGTTTATTTATACAATGGTCTAATAGGTCCCTGTTGCATAGAATAAAATACTGTCCACATTCTGACATAAAAAAGATGAAGTCGAAAAACAAGATGCAATACTGATCCCATATATGTTCATTTTTTTTAAAGTTATATGTGTTTATTCATACATTTTAAAACTCCAGAAGGATTGTACCAACTGTTAAAAGTGACAAGGGTTGGGAAGCGGGTGCAGAGAATTAAGATGAGACAAGAATATTTTCCTTCTATTATGCTTTGTTAAATTTTTTTTATAGCAAACATTACTTCTATAATTGGAGAATAAACTGCACACAGTAGCACACACCCATAATTCCAGTGATTTGGGAAGCTAAGGCAGGGGGATTACAAATTCAAAGTCAACTCTGCAGTTTAGAGAGATCCTCTCTCAAAAATAAAATAAAAAGGGCTGGGGATATAGCTCTGAGGCATAGCACTCCTGGGTTCAATCCCTAGAACCAAACCAAAACAAACAACAACAACAACAAAAGAAAAAAAAAAAAGGAAGGAAGGAAGGGAGGGAGGGAAAAGTAAGCAGAACTAAGAATGCACAAAGAGGAGCTTGCCTTAGCTCATCCTGCAGGTACTGTGGCCCTGGCTCCCAAGGGCACCTAATCACAGGGAAGAGGTCAGGGTTGCACAGTGCTTGTGGTTTTCCTGTAGGGCACTGCAGCCCCAGAATACTAATGAGGATTGGAGCAGCAATGACTCCCAGGAAGGCTGCTGTGAGGACTAAATGAGATAATGTATTAAAGGCACCAGGAACGTGGCTGGCTGCTAGTAAGTCCTCAATACTAGCAGCTCTTAGTTATTATTGTTATTTTTTAACGGATCCTGTAGCCCAGCCCTGCAGAGTATGCCTTACTTCCAGATCCCTCTCACTGGCACAGATTTTAAGCATTCAGAGCAGGTGTACAAATGCTTAGTTTCGTGTCAGGGCTATAACTGCACTTAATTGCCAACAAAACCACTTCAAAAGAGCCGTTCACCTGAGGGATGCTTGTGCAGTTGGAAACCATGGCTACGTGGTTCCACTTGTCTTTAGAAGAACATTACTTCCTTGCCTGTTAATGAATATATAAATAAATAATGATCACCATGCAAATGGCGTAGCTTAGCTTTTTGCAAGTTAAAGCAAAAATGGTTACTGGTCATCCCTTTCATGTTTAAAAAAAAAGTTTTCAAAGCAGATGAAAGAGAAACAGAATAGCTTGTTTTCTCCTCATTGCACCCCCAGGAGAAGTCAGCCTCTACTGCTTCAGAATCCTTCTGTTGAAGGTCACAAGAGTGGAGTTCATGACTGCACAATCAAATAAAACCCATGATGCAGATATATTGGAGAGAAAGAAAGAATTAAGTGTAGCAAGGCCTTATTTTATTATAAGATTCTTGTTTTCTCTACCAAGGAGACAGAATAAAATAAAGCTTGTGGGTACATGCCTACAATTGTTCCCATGAACCCTAAAAAGTGATCATTTGCACACACAATTTAAAAAAGGAAAAATTAAACCAGATGGAAGAAATGATAAAGAAAGGAGTTGCCTTGTAGGAACCACAGCTGGTTACAGCTGTGGGAGTTCCTGTTAACAGTTTATGTTGGCTATTTTGTTTCCTGGCTAAACCGATTGCATTTTATTATGATGTTTTTTTTGACAACTTAAAAATCAGATTTTATTTTCTCTCTCACAGACTCTCTTAATACCATTCTTAATAAGGAAGAAAAATGTTGAATGTTTTCACTGATAAATGGAAAACCTCGTTTAGGATTTGGTTTACAAATTCCAAGTGCTAAAAGCCTAGTAACATGAAGACCATGTGAACACAGGCCAAGAGGATCACAGGACTGACAAATAACGTACAGTACTGGGCACCCACTTAGGATTGTGCAAGATTTTCATTTCTGTTGTGTGATCAACACTGCCTCAGAACTGAGGAGTTACCATGCTAACAAATCATTTGTCTATCACATCACCCACCTTCCATCTCCTACATAAACTCTCCTGATGGAATTTTAGGCACTGGGGATAAGTCTGTAAGAAGCTATTTTTGAGCAATGATTCTTAAGAAGGTGGTTCCCGACTTGTGTGCCTCCCATTCTCACACATGAACTAGTGTGGGTTTGTGTTTAAAAACAGACACCCACACAGAGACAGATTTTTCTCTCTTCCTCTCTCCATTTATTTTGAGCTACTCAAGGGAACTGTATCCTATTTATCTCAGTTCACCAAGTGCCCAGCCATAGAAATTCTATAAATATTTGTTGAATGAACAAAAATAAATCTGTTCTTTGCTTTCTGGGGAAAGGAGTGACCCCCTAATCAAGAGTAGTCTTTGGGATGTCAAGCCTTGCAAAAGCCATCTTTAATTGTTTGGGAGGGAAGAAAAGGAGGGAGGAAAATGGAACCTAGAAACAGAACCTGTCCATTCATTTATCAATTTATTCAACAAATATTTGCCAGGTCATCTAGTAGGCACTGCATATATAGTGGTGAATACAACACACATGGTCTTTATCTTTGTGGAGTTCACAATCTACTGGGGAGACAAAAGAAGTAGATATCAGCACCAAAAAAAAAAAAAAAAGACAGATAATGTATACTATCAATGGAATAACCAGGTGTTGGAACAGATGTTGATAGGCTGACCAGAGAATGTCTCTTTGAAGAGACAGCTGAGCTGAAACCTAAAGGCTGAGAAAGTCGAGGAAGCAAGGAGCTCTATGTTAAAGTACCAAAAGCATAGCAGCAGAGCTGGAGGAGGAGAGAATAATGTGACAGAGGATGAAGGATGCAAGGGCCCATGTTGAATTCAGATTCTATTCTGAACATTCTTCCTAGAACAGTATTTGACATATAGCAAGGGATCATAAATGTTAGCCATGGTTGTATATAGTAGCCAACTAAACTATAAGGTATGGTCATAATAACAGAACAGAATGATTAAAACTTCAGCAATGAAAAGATATTCATTTACCTGACAAAACACACTTTTTATTTAGCAACTTTTCCATACAACCAGCCAAATGTACAGGGGGAGGGGGGGAAGCAGTCAAGTTCCACTTACAAAAAGGAAGCTTATATTTGGTTGACCCTCTAATATTAAATATTTCTTTGTTTTAAACAATAAAAGGACAGCACAGAGGATTATACTGTCAGTACCCCAACTTTTAAAATCAATGAGGTGGATCATTTTCATCTGCTCACATAACTTTTTACCACAGGTGGCCATTTCAGAAATGAAAGTTACAGCTAATCAAACACTTAGCCCACATGCCTTAGTGATTTTAATGATACGATTTGTTGCTATGAGACAAAAACATGTTGTGAGGGAAATAATCTGTTAGAAATCATATGACCTTGATTCAAAGGCTTTTGATTAACAGCACTAACATCCGCTTTCTGGAAAAGAAACAAACCCTATGATTAGAGCTTGGTAGTTCTTTTAAAGCAAATAAAATGTTATTAGCCACTCATTAATGGATATGGGAAGCAAAAATGGCTCCAAATATTAAAAACTTCAGATGAGTTCCTTTCAGCCCCTCCCTTGGAAAAGCTTTCAAGGCTACTAACAGTTTCTCCTCTTTGACCTTGTCTTTCTTCTTTCTACTTTTGGAGAGAGATACTGACTTAAAAAAAAAAAAAAACAGACAAGAAGTAGAAATAGATGGTTTAGGAAACACAAGACTTAGCAAGCAGACAGTAGAGTCTAAAATGGCTTCACTTCCTGTGAGTAAGTTAGGGACTATTCAGGCTTCATATGCACATTAAGCATTGCCCATGAAGCAGTACTGTGTGTGGTGACATGGTGGCAAACAGACATGGTCCCTGTTTTCACAGGGTTTGCATTCTAGTGAGGAAGGCAGGCAAGAAGCTGACAAGTAAGTCAGGCTCACATAGACCCAGAAGAGTGATGAGGAAAATAAATTGGGGTTGGGAGAAGGTAACTGGGTGAAGGGGGGGGCCTCTTTGAACAGGTAATGTCTGGAGGAGCCCCGAATGACAGAAATTCATCTGTGAAGATCTAGGGCAAAAACATTCTGGTAGAGAAGATGGCAACTCAGGTTCCAGGGGTGGAGACCAGCTTGAGATGTTCAAGAAAAAGATGGGGCTGGTAAGCCAGTGAGAGCATAGGAGAGATAAGATCAAGAAGGGCACAGACCTGATCATGCAGGGCACAGACCTGATCATGCAGGGTGGATCTGAATCGCAATAATGTCTAGAGGGTTGTATCAATAGTTGGATTTCTAAATGGCCCAATTATGCAAGGCTAATCTAAAAGCAGGTTTGGCCCCTGTCTGGTGACCTGATGGCAGTGGCACTTTTTATTCTTTTCTAGCTGGAGCAGCAGTAGTGACCTACCCTGTTGCCCTGAAACTCCCACTGGCAATCTAGACTCCCTGGAGTGTATCTGGTCTGCCCTAAGCAGGCTGTAAAAGCAGCCAGGTGCTATGGCTCACACATGTAATCCCAGACTCAGGAAGCTGAGGCAGGAAGATTGCAAGTTCAAGGCCAGTTTTAGCAACTTAGTGAGACCCTGTCTCAAAATAAAAATAAAAAGGCAGTAAAAGGAAAGCCTCTGTGAAATATCTTGTCCTGGACCACAGAGATCTCACTTGCCACTCATGGAGCTGCCCCCTGATTCCTGGTCTCCTTCATCATCTGGATGTTGTTAGGCCCTATCAGATCTCTTTCTCCTTCGTCCCTTCCTTGAACCCTGCCACTTGTCATGACCAAGCCTAAGTCAAAGCAGGGCAAGGGCCACTGGCTGGAGTCAGGAGATGACGTAGGTTGGGGGGCATGCTCACTTTTGCCAGAGGAGTCATGACAGAAAGGACCCTGCTGATGTCAGAGTTAAAGCAGACAATAGATTGACTCCAGGGAATTTGACCAGGCATGAGAGACTGGCTTGGGCACATTACCAGGGTCACCCAACCAAGTTTGCTGAGTCCAGGGGAGGACCTGGAGGCAACCACACTAATGACATGTACATTGTCTTCTGTTCTGAACTCGTGTTCATCACTTCCTTGTTTATTTCCTTGAAAACATCATGGCTACTTGACTAGAAATTAAATTCTTAGCCTCATTCTCACCTCTCAATTCTGGTTCCAATCTACTTTACCTTATGCTTTCTTGCTTGACACTTACAAGATACTTTCTTGACAGTTTTATTACACCATGCGTCCCTGCATATAGCCTACTTACATGGCAGACAAACATGAATGTTACTTATAATCAGAAATTATTTAAAATCAGAAAAAGAATTAAGACCAAAAAATACATGTTTTTTTGTTTGTTTGTTTGTTTTTTAAAGATCCTTCTTGTCCCAAGTAGTTATGCTCACTGGATCATCCTACTTCTAACCTGAGCAGAGGTGGCAGTGCTTGGGCCACCAGAAGATGCTCATGGTTCATCCTAAAGGGCCATCCAGTTAGTTCTCTCCAGTTTCCTTGAACCTCTCAGATTTCCCCAAGCTTTAGCCTCTCTGGGCCTGAGTGGTTCCCTCACAGGCCACCCCACTCACCCTGTCTGGGTTCCCAGACTGGGTTCCTATATTTATCTCTGTATCTCTCTTCAGTTCTCTTATCTGATCAGTTGAATTGCCCTTCTTCCCTTGGGACCCTGCTACTTCTGGGTCTGGCTAGAGCCAACTTCCTTTAGGTTACACATTCACATAAGTCCCTGTCAGCCCTGGCTTTACTCCAATCCCTGTCATCATCAAATTGCCCTGGCCCTAAGTGCACATAGGCAAGAGAGTCCATGGAAGCTGGAAGATGTTGCTGACTGGTTGGCTAAATTTCCCAGAGGGATGAGTCAAGTTTTCATTCATTTACCCTTCAAAAGATGAAGTGGAGTGTGTGTGTATGCAAAGGGGTGGAAAGGAGAGAATAGCAATTCTGTATCTACCATTAGGACAATTTCTCCTAGTCTTGGGTTCTGGAACCTTGGAAAATTATGGTAGAAATGATGGTGTGAGAGAAGGTCTTCATGGTTGGGTTTTTTTTGTTTTTGTTTTTTATTGTTGGTCGTTCAAAACCTTACACAGTTCTTAATACATCATATTTCACAGTTTGATTCAAGCGGGTTATGAACTCCCAACTTTACCCCGTATACAGATTGCTGTATCACATCAGTTACCCTTCCATTGATTGACATATTGCTTTTCTAGTGTCTGGTGTATTCTACTGTCAGTCCTATTCTCTACTATCCCCCCTCCCCTCCCTTCCCCTCCCCTTTTCTCTCTCTACCCCTTCTACTGTAAATCATTTCTTCCATTTGTATTATCTTGTCTTACCCCTCCTTTCCTCTTATATATCATTTTGTATAACCCTGAGGATCGCCTTCCATTTTCATGGTTGTTTTATCTTAAGTATCTTATTAAAATAGGAGTCTATGTAGAGTTTTTTAAAAGTTCTTTGAGCTTTCTAATTAGAAGACCAAACTTATGATTGCATAAATTTTTTTATTTAGGGGAAAAATAGTGAATCAATTTTGAGAACTATTAAGTAGTGGTTCAGAAATAAGAAAAATATCATGGAGATGGTAGCTTATACCCAGAGCCCTCAGTTGGTATGGAGACAAACATTTTCACTGAACTTACCTCTCCTGTTTTACAAAGGAGTTAAAGTCCATCATCCCTGTTCTCCTTGTTGTCTTCGCCTACAGATGGCCACAACTACCCTCGAGCAGCCTACCAACAAGTGATCCAGCCAGCTCTGCCTGGGCAGCCCCTACCTGGGACAACTGTGAGAGGCCTGCCACCTGTGCAGAAGGTTATCCCGAATTATCCCAGTCCCTGGCACCAAGAAGAGAGGCCTATACAAAGAGACTTCTCCTTTCCAGGACTTCCAAGGTGTCAGTAAGTATGACAGGGCTAACCTTCACATATTTCTAACATGAGAAAGCATCATGACAGTGCAATAAAGATGTTTCAAAATTCTCTGTAGGTTTACTACCCAGGTTAGTGACAGTGACACAGTGGAACCACCCACTGTAAACTTTTCAGGTCAGAAGGAAGTGGAAACTAGTTGACAGTATCTCTTTACCAGTTATAGAAAAGCCACTAGTGACTAGTCAAAATGCCTTTCAAGGGAAAGCTCTTAAGATATTCTCTGAATCACACCTTCTTCATTTACTTTCAGATCACCTGAACTTTTAGTTGCAAAATAGTTTTTGTTTTTAATATCAACTTCCACTTCTATAAAATTCTTTTTATATTCCTTGTTTATGTTCCTATTTAATCTTATTCCTTACTTTAAATTTTAAAATTCAATTAATTCCAAATAGAAATTTTAAATAACCTGTCATTATCTTTTGTAATGAAAACGTTCATACACGTTGAGTACCATTATTGGCCCTCTCCTAGGCTTCTTCCAGAAAAGGAATTCTGATTTTTTATGACTTCAGTTGTCTAACTCTTTTTTTCCATTGGTTTAACAAAATATCTAAAGCAAGATACTTTAAAAAGAAAAGATATTTATTTAGCTCATAGTTTTGAAGGCTGAAAGTCTAAGATCTGTGGGCTATATCTATTTAGTCTCCAGTGAGGACCCTCTTCACTGCCTTACATCATAACAGACTGACATGATGGCAGAAGTATTGCTTTTTTTTTTTTTTTTTTTAAATATAGGAGTCTTGCTATGTTCTCCAGGGTAGCATTGAACTCTTGAACTTGTGATCTTCTGCCTCAGCCTCCCAAGCAGCTGGAATCACAGACATGTGGTGCCACTACTCCCAACTTTTTAGGTTTGCTCTTTATAACAACTCTCTTTTAAGAATTAACCAGGGTCAGGGCTGGGGTTGTAGCTCAGTGGTGGAGTGCTTATCTAGCACCTGTGAGGCACTGGGTTCAATCTTTAGCACCACATAAAAATAAATAATCCAAAAAAGGTATTGCGTCCATCTATAATTAAAAATATTAGAAAAAAGAAGAATTAACCAGGGTCCTATGAGAATTATATCAATTCCTTACAAGGGCAGCATCCTCAATGACCTAATTACTTCCCACTAGAACCCTCCTCAAAGGTTCCACAATGTCTTCTAACACTATCACACTGAGAACCAACCTCCCAACCCAGGAACCCTGGGGGAACATACTCAAACTATATCCAGATCATATCATCTTTCAGTCATTTTTCTCCTTATTGCTCTTTTCACTCTCAAATTTTTTTCTCTTAATTTATGAATCTAATTTATATAAGACTCATAAATGAAGCTTCCTAATTTATGATGAAATTGGAAAGAAAGATGAAATGTTTGCTCTTGTTCATGTAGAACTTTCACATGCCACTCTAAAACTACATTCTGTTTTTATAGAACTGAATGAGATATGGAGATCCTATTAAAGTGGATTTTTCAGAACTACAGAAATTGGTAATTAGCTCAAAATTTTTATTGAAAGGAAAATAGCTCACTCATTAACAATGGCAAATAAGCTATATGCCTGATTTCCCCTTTTCTAGAAAGTTCAGAAACCCTTATATTTTCTTTCCAGACAGACACTTCTTTTTTCTCAAACAAAAATAATGGAATTAAGTAAAATGCAATTTGTGTGTGTTAGTAGGGATTGAACCCAGGGGTGCTTAACCACTCCCAACCCATGGTTACTTTTTATTTTGACACAGGATCTTGCTAAGTTGCTGAGTCTGGCCTTGAACTTGTGATCTTCCTACCTCAGCCTCTTAAGCTGCTGGGATTACAGGCATGCACTACTGTGCCTAGTAAAAAAGAGATTTTTATAGCAGGATAATCATATAAGAAAACAAACAAAATTTAAGTATCTTTATGAAATAAGTTTGGTGTTGAATAGGGGAGGAAATTGTAATTTTTAAAATAAACTTTTTTTGGAAATAACTTCAGATTTACAGAACAATTGCAATGGTACTGCAGAGTAATTGGTTTTATAATATCAATTTAACCCTGCTGTGGTCTCCTTGATTTATTTTATCATTTTAGAATAATGAAAAATGAGTTCAGGTAAGGAGCTAATTCTCCTCTTACTGATAACTTGGAAGATAATCTTAATAGAGAAACTTTATTCTATCATTAATCTCCATGATGTTGTTTTTACATGGAAGTTTTTTAATATTATCAAGGCCTTAATACTTCTTTATCAAACTAACAATCATCTTTCATAACAACTAATCGATTTTTGGTATAAAAAGATTTAATGCAAAAGAGTGAGGAACTGAATCTCCATTAGATGAAAGTATATTTTATAGAAATTATTTTCTCTATATTAATAAAAATGTAAAGTAAAATAACATCCTTAAACATTCATATTTTAGAAATATAGTTGAGATGCTGTATAATTTTATTTTAAATCCTGTTATGTTAGACTTTTAAGAATGTTCTATGATGCTTATATAAAAATATGAAAGAATAAGCAATAATCTATAGAAAGCATAAACACATAGATTTGTAATCAAAACATTTTTTAAAAATTTATAATGTAAGCTCAGTGCAGTGGCACACACTATAATCTCAGCTATTCAGAAGGCTGAGGCAGGACTATTTTAACTTTGATGTAGCTCAATGGTATAGCATCATGGGTATTTCAATCTCCAGTACCACACACACATACACACAATGAAACAATTTCAAATAGATAGCAAATAACAAATATTTGTGTTCCTACTATCCAGATATTAAAAATGTTAACATATTGCCACATTTGCAGAATATTTTTTAGTGAAATAAAATGTTAGATGTACAGTTTTAAGTCTCCCTAACAGTTAGGATTCATTTGCAGAAAATAAGAACAATTCTAGCTATTTTAGATAGAAAGGATAGGGAATTGAATGCTTACAGAATTGTTGAAGGTTAGAGGAGGAAGCTTTAGGCTGGGCTTCAGAAAATGATCACAGAGCAATCCCACACAGTAGGACAATTCTGACATGCAGGAAGGGGGAGAATCAAAAAGCCAGGATACCATAACACAGTGTGGTAGATATTTTTTTAAAGGTTCTTCGGAATCAGATTTTCATTCATATATTAATAACTTAAATACTTTAAAACATACATGACTTTTTTTTTACCTTTTGATACATGATTAAATGTTATCTATCATGAGCTAAAAGTCATGTCTTTTCAATCTGAATGCTTATAACATCAACCTATGTCACCATCACACTACTTGGTTTTGTTGATGACCTTGTCTGCCCCCTGCATGAGACTTATTTTTCTAATTAAATAGTCCTTGAATAGAGAAATCAAATCCTGCTTCTCTCTTTTGACCCTTAGCACAGGTCCTTACATATGGCAGCCAGCTGAATTGCTTATTGACAGAAACTCCATGAAGCTCTTCTTTCTGTTCTCTGATAAGAAATGAAGGCAGAGGAGAAATAAAGTTCATTGGTATTTTCCTACAGTTATTAAAGGCTTTCTGTGTCCCAAGATTTGCTTTTGTTAAAAAAAAAAAAAAAAAAAAAGAGAGAGAGAGAGAGAATTTACTGAAAACACATTCTTCTCCAGGGACCAGCAGTATCACCAGCCACCTAATGGAGCTGGAGCTCCTAAGGAGTCCTTGGAACATCCTGCAGAGCTGAGACCACAGGGACCCCAGGCTCCACCCCCGGTTGCTGTGCCTAGACCCCCTAGTAACCCTCCAGTGAGAGGAACTCTGAAAACAAGCAACTTGCCAGAAGAATTGCGTAAGTTGTTTGCAATGTGGTTTTCTCCTTCTTGTCAGGCCTTACACTTCAAAAGTACTTCTTTTTTTTAATATAATTATTTATTTTTTTTAGTTGTAGATGGACACAATACCTTTATTTTATTTGTTTTTATTTTTATGTGGTGCCGGGGATAAAATCCAGTGCCTCATGCATACTAGGCAAGTGCTCTACCACTGAGCCACAACCCTGCCCCCAAAAGTACCTCTTTTACTTCTTTATTTTTTGTTGATTCATTTTATATATATAAATATATATATATATATATATAAATATATATTCATTTTACATATATACACACATATACTATATATTCTCATACATATTTCAAGTTTTTATTATTACAAATATTAATATAACAAATTAGTTGAAAGTATTTCTTGATCATTCATCCATGATCTCAGATATTTCTCATATACGCAGTGAAATAAAATTCATTTTTTTGCTTACAAAGTAACTGGAATTTTGCATGAATGTTTTTATAGATTCCAACACTATTAGTAATGCTCATGAAGTGCTTACCACTAAATTTTCTTCAACACATACTTCAGCAACAAATAACTCCAACACTTTTTTCCTCTCCTAAACGATGCTCTTGAGTGGATTTGTCCCTGGGTAAATTGATTGGATGTCCATGTGGCATTGGAGAGAAACCTAGTGCCTTACCATAAATTAGCAGCAGCCATCAAGAACGAGGTCATTTCCTTTAGGAATGAGCAATCTCATTTGGAAAAAAAACGGTCTCACATTCTCCACTCTGCTTTACAACCAAATGCAAACTAAGCCTTTTATTTAAAGAAACATTTGACTAAGTGTCAGGTGATGATTCTTTTTCCACGTTTTGCTGCCAGAACCAGAAATGTTGAAATATCACCAAAATGTTCTCAGAATAAGGTCAGTCAGGATAGTTAGTTCCAGAAATCTTAAGAAAACAACCACTACTTGTGAAATTATTACCCATCGTGCTTGCTAGAGAAGCTCAGTTCATTCTAATAAGCTCTTTCCAAATCTGGAAAACTGAACCAAACTTGAAATGAAGCTCTTTGTGTGTGGATTTGCTAATTCCTTTGAGGGGCTCTGTGCTCTTCCCATCGTTTACAACTCTGAAAGTTTTCTATGACAAGGATCCAATGCTGTCTTCACTAAAAACTTTCTTTCTGAACACCTTAAAATTGTATACATTTTAATTTTGCATACAGATGCTGCCCTGCATGGGGTATAGACCCAATATCCGTTTATAGATTGTATCCATCTTATTATAATTTATGAAAGGAGTCCTAAAATTACTTTCATAGGAACTGAGTGAAGTAAGTGTTGAGAAAAATGAATTGAGTGCTATCAATATGCCTGCCTTCTTAAATGAGTTGATATGATCATTATACACGTTTCCACTTGAGAGGGGTGTCTCAAAAAACAGGAGCCTGAGCATAGAGGAACACATGCAGACTCACATTCTCTTCAGCTCCCCTTCTTCTCTACTCTCTGCCCCAGGGAATTTTTGAGATTCTACTGGTCCATTCCAGACTAAAAACCAACAGAGATTATTCATTTCTCACACTAAAATGTTAGCTAGATAATTTCCCTAAGACTTTAGCCTGAGAAAACACTGGTTCTCATCTTAGTGGGGGCAATTTTGACCAAATAGTACTGTCTGTCTGCTGCTCTAATCGGGCCTAGGGATGAGAGAGGGAGTGTCTGATGTTGACTGCCCTGAGCAGTGTCTCTCCTTCAAGCTGCTACAGTTTTACTAACATTTCAGGGTCGTGCATTCATCTACTCCATTTTCCTGGCCTTTCTCCAAAAAGGTAGGGGCAAGAAGTGGGTCAGGGACTGCTTTCTCACTCTCTCCCGACTTGCTCTTGTAAGGCAAGAGTTCAGAGCAACAGAGAGCATGATGAGATCAAAAGAGGACACTGCTGGGTGGCCCCTTAGCAGCTACAGCTTCTTGGCCTGCTGTGAGAGTATTTTCCTCAGGCCCAGTGCCAAGTAGTTCGAAGAAACAAGGCAGAGACTTGAACTTAAGGACCTGTGGGTTCTGTGTGGTAGACTTTTTGGTAATGCCTCCTGTGGTTTTTCAGAAGACCTTGGAAGCTAATCTGAGCCTGCCATTGCTCTCCTCTGTCCCTTTGATTTCCAGTCACCCTGAGCAGTCTGTATTACCTGGGACAGGCTCTAGCCCCTGTGCCTGGAGAAACATGCCCTGAGACACAATCCACACCACTGCAAGTTTAAACCCTTAGGCCACCCTCACTCGGAGGTTTCCCTTATTATTCCAGAAGTACAGAAGATGTGTACAATTTACAAGTGTAGTAGAATATACTACACTACACTATATTATATAAAACATAATTTGATGTTTCTAATAAATGTGAATTTTTTTCTCTTAGGGAAAGTCTTTATCACTTATTCTATGGATACAGCCATGGAGGTGGTGAAATTTGTGAATTTTTTGTTGGTAAATGGCTTCCAAACTGCGGTACGTATTTTAACCAAAGAGAAAAGTGAATATCTGAAGTGAGAACAATGATAAGGAAAATCATTTGAAGCAAAAGAATAAATAGACATTAATGTTTAAAGTGATATTTTTTAATTTTGGTGGTTTTGAGTTAAATGATTATGAATTTAGGTAATTAATGTCTAGATTTTAAACTATGCAAAGTCTCCAGCATTTTTTTTTCCTTTATGTTTTTGGAGTGAGCGTGAGTACTCCAAACAGCAAGAATCATGCTAATAATGCCCACCATATACGCAGCTGGCTCTGGGTTGGAGGAAAGGCAGGTTGTTGCTGCACTTTGTACCTTTTGCCCCTTCTGACCAATCATGTCCACTTTGGTTATGCTTCCTGTGATGCAGGAAGCCACAGGCTTCACCACAGCAACCTGCTTATTTAACAAGGTTCTTTTGTTCTGCACTGGGCCATGAGGTTTGAAGTAGAACCCTGGCTACTTGGGTCCCCCACTGCACACAGCTGCCCCTTCACACAGTGACATGCAGTGAAGCTCAGGGACAGGGAGTCTCCGGCTGGGTTTTCGGCTGGTCTAGTGAAAGTCCAGAGCAGGCAGCCCTAATCCAGACCTGCAGGTCCACTGTGATCTTGGCCTAAGGACTCTCAAGCTTATACTCCTTCTGTCCCCCTACCATCACCTGAAACAGCACAGCTTAAAGCCATGTAAGTTTTTCCTTAGGATAAATAAAATGCCATAGGATGCCACTTGGAGAACTGGCTTTCCTCAAACCCTGAAATCACTTCTTTTCCTCCCTAAGCCTCTTTTAGGTATTCAGTGGCAATGAATTCTAGAGAGTGGTGAAAAATTAGTGGTAAGTAAGAATGTTGGAGGCTACAGAAGAATACTTAGAAAGTAAAGCATAAAGAGATTACTTAGCATTGCTTAACAGTTTTTATTGGAAGTTTTCTATATTCTATAAATGTTTTTTTAAACAGGAGTGTCTAAAAGTTAAAAAAATGCTGACAATTTATATAATACAACTTCATGACTATGTAGAGACCATCACATCCCTTTCTCATTTCTAAAGTAAAAAAGAGGTGTGGCCACCGTGACATAAAATCAAATTATAAGACGTAAGATCAACATTTAAGAAGAAATTTTATTTTTAATCTTTTCCAAATATACACATACTAACTGCCCCTTAAGACAAGCCCAGACTTTTTTGATCTTAACAATCAGGGCTATTTAGGCAAAATTTAAATTGATCTTGACCCTCATCCAGGGAAATCTCGTGGTAGAATCACAGAGCCCAGATCTGGACAGTTACATTACTACTGATACATTAAGATTGTGGTAGTGGGATGAAACACTTCATGGGTAATTTGAGGAGAGTTCAGTAAAGGAAGTTCAATAACCTACCCAAGTCTCTGGGTAGGTTTTAGGGACTCCAAAGGGATTAGTACAATATCTTAGCACTAGCAAAAGCAGGGAGTAATTATTGCCCCTAGGTCTGAAGAGGCAAGAGAGCAATGGTGACCAGAACCTGAAGGGGGTGCTGTATGAGTTTCCTAAGGATGCCAATAAGGTAATGCAGACAGGATGGCTTATATGACAGAAACTTACTTTCACAGTTCTAGAGGTTGCAAGTCCAAGCTAAAGGTTACAGCAAGATTGGTTTCATCCCGAGGCCTCTCTCCATGGCTTGTAGAAGGCCATCCCCTCTCTCTGTCTTCATGTGGTCTCTCCTCTGTGTGCACACTTCTGTGTCCTAATCGCCTCTTCTTGCATGGATACCAGTCCTGTTGGAGTAGGGTATGCCCCTATGATCTCATATCACCTTAATTAGCTCCTAAAGGCTCTGTCTCCAAATACAGTCATATTCTAAAGTTCTGGGGTTTAAAATAAAATAAATTTAGGGGGGACACAACCCAGTCTGTAACAGCAGCTGTGTGGATTTTGGTAGAAATCTGGATAGGTAAATGAAAGCTATCTGCCACATTGTATCCATCTCAATAGCAGGTGCTGGGATAATAATAATCACAATTTATTCATGCCTGGTATTATGATATGCCTTTTCCATATTAAGTCATTTTAATACTCACAACCATAGAAAATAGATTGATTAGCCACATGTTGCAAATGAAGATAATGAAAGTTGAAGAGTTTTGATAACATTTCCAAAGTTATGAAGGTAGGAAGTGGCAGAGAAAGAGTAGAATCCATGTAGCTCATCTCTTCTCAACCCTGACATTGTATTGCTTCTCTCTCACACAATGAAAATGGATTATTGATAGAGTTAGGGAGGTACAAAAGCTTTTGACAGATTACCTACTGTTGTCATTGGCCAGCACACATTTTAAAACAGAATCATCCAGTCCAAAAGGAAAGCCATTCCATTCTTCATGTTCCATAAGAAAAGGAACTTTTATTATGTACCCTATGTATTTGAGAATTCAGTGAACACACGGCATGATCTTTCTCTGTTTTTCTGTTTTGTATTGCAGTACTGGGATTGAACCCTGGGGATATTCTATCACTGAACTATGCCCCCAGCCCTGTTTATTTTTTGAGACAAGGGGCTTGCTAAGTTGTTGAGACTGGCCTCAAACATAAGATTCTCCTGCTTTAGCCTCTTGAATCGCTGGAATCATAGGCACAGCCACTGTGCCTGGCTAAATGATCTCTTTTCATAGAAAGCTTACATAAATGAGACATTCAGTGAATGAAAGAATACTTTATTAGTTTGTTGATTGTTCAGTACCATTATTGGTCACAATGGAGGAGAATTATATGAAGTGAGGAGAAGGAGGTCAGCATGTAAGAAGGATTCACAGAGCGGGGAACATGTGTTACACTTTTAGGGTACAGGGGCCACCAACATGGAGGTTAAAGTAATAGAGCATGTGGGGAAAGAGGACATAAGAATGGATCATAGATGACACAGGAAGCCTATGAATGGCTAGGACTTGACTTGATGGACTTAAACAGCAGAGTGACATTTAGGACAATTAATCTGAGAGCAATATGGCTGAATCAAATAAACTCTCTCCAAGGACTCTTCCCTTAAGTCCCCATTCTGGTATATAATCCTCCTTCCATTCAGGAACATCTTGCGTGCGCGCGCACACACACACACACACACACACACACACACACACACACACACACACACCTTGCTGCAGTACAATTCTGAGCCTAAGAAAGGCCCTCTTATTTGTCTTCTGTAAAATAGAAAATAACAGATTTTGTTTTTCTCCTCTTTATATACCCCTTCAAAGGCTTGAAGGCCGATACTAAATATTAGTCTTGTCAAGGCCCAAGAGTTCTACTAAGATGAAAGTCAAGAGACTCCCATCATAAACCTTTCCCTACTATCTCAGTAGTTGTTTTTGTGACAGTTCCTTGGATCTGCTCCAAGTTTCATACAATAATTTTGAAACGTATATGTTGAATCTGGACATAATACCCTAATAATGAGCTAACTAATGCAAGTAAAGTACCACAGTGTGTCTCTCAGCACTTGCATGATACATATTCATTAACATGTTCCAGAATTATGTTTGTCTTTCAAATGTGTGTGTGTGTGTGTGTGTATAGTAATATATAGTATATTGTTGGTTTACATCCAATTTAGTGGTATACCGTGTCCCTTAGGTTTTGCAAAAACATAATTAGGGCTGGTGATATAGCTCAGTGGTAGAGGGCTTGCATAGTATGTGTGAGACCCTGAGTTCCAGTAACTTTATGAGTTGTAAATGTGTATAATATCTTGTGTTTTCTCAAACTCTATATCCAGAGAAAACTTACTAAGGGCCATCTCCCACATCTTTCTTTTGTAGATTGATATATTTGAAGATAGAATCAGAGGTATTGATATCATTAAATGGATGGAGCGTTACCTTCGGGATGTAAGTACATTCCAAAATTCTGAGAACTTTTGCTGGCGAGTAAGACAATTAGCTTAGCTTGTGAGGCTCCCCCTGCCCCCCAACGGAAGAAGCACTGGCATATGCACCCAAGTGTGGAGCTGAAAAAGTCTGGACAAAGCCTCGCTTGTTGGAAGTCGTGCAGAGACTTGGAAAGGAAGGATGGGGTCACTCTCCTGGACATGCACAGGCAGGAAATAACGGTCAAACCAGACACAGGTGGTTGATAACAATCAGAGCAAACAATTTCTAGACCAGAAGAGGAAAGGAGGAAATGAAGGCAGGGAGTGGGGAGGGAGCAGAATTCAATTGAATGCAAGGCGCCCCAAGTGTTCTGTAGGACTGGACTGAAGAGGTTTCCTTGCAGACTTAAATCGGTGCAGCACCCTGCCCCGAGGCTCCCACTTGTAGCCCCTTGATTCGTGATCTGTTTTCTGCTGACAGAATCTATACCAGCCACTGGGACACTTTGTGCTTTAACAAGATAGAAATTGATTGCTGCCAGTGTGTCCCTGTCCATGGCCGCTTCTTTGGGCGGCTGCCGGTGGGGGACGGGAGTCTCAGCAGGCTTGGGTTTTGCAGCTTTTCCCTTTGTCTGCAGCCTGATGTTGCTTTGTGCTGAAGGGTCTGTTCCTACTGACTGTGCTAATGCGGACGTGGAAAGCAGGGCAGTGGAGAGTACAGAAACTGATAGCTCAGATCCAGCTTCGGGGAGGGGGAAATCTTTCCATCATCTGGCGGCAGCGCCTTTTTTTGCAGGCTCACTCAGTGATTCAGGCTTTCATTAGCTGTTTATTAGATATGGTTGTGGAAAATGGTGGGCAAATCACATCTGCATAAGAGAGCTCTTCTCTGAGTCCTTTGCTAGGGAGCTGGGCAGGCAGGCAGTGGGGAGGAGTGGAGACAACCGTGTGCCTGAATCGGGGCCAGTGCCTTTCACTTTCCACAGAGATGGAGGCTGGCCCTCCATCTGCGAGCAGGTCAGGGAATGCACACAGTCCTGCTGGCCAGCTTCCAGCCAGCCTTCACCAAATGGACCACACTTCCCACTTCCATAAACATACTTCTCTCCCTCTCATTAACAGAAGACAGTGATGATAATCGTAGCAATCAGCCCCAAATACAAACAGGATGTGGAAGGCGCTGAGTCGCAGCTGGACGAGGATGAGCATGGCTTACATACTAAGTACATTCATCGAATGGTGAGTGGTAAGGGGACCACAGGGCCTCATCGCCCCTCAGGGATGGGCTCTCTCTCCAGGGAAGATCAGTTCTTCACGGGGACCAACTGAAGGCGGCATGAATCCCAGGTCTCCCTGGTCAGGAGAGGGACAGTCAGTCGAGGTTCCATCTACCTTTGAGACCCTGGTGAGTCACCATGCCTCTGATAGGACTCAGTTCTCCCATCAGTGACAAGGGGAGATCGCTGTGATCTCTGAGAGCCAAGATTCTGGAAAGTCTGCTCCGCTGGCTTGGCCGTTTACCAAGAAATGAGAATTCCTTAGGAGGGTGGAGACAGGGCTGTGAGGAAAGAGGGCTCCTGCAGCTGTGTCATATTTGGTCCCCTGCCTTTTCAGAGAGGCAGGTGGCATAGTGGAAAGGACACATGCTGTTCCATCATAAAGACTTTGTTCAAATTTGGCTTTCTAAAGCACCATGGCCCAACTGCTTAAATCTTCTTGTGCCTCTATCCCTATTCATAAAATGGATCACTAATACTGAGCAGTGTCATGAAGATGAAATGAAGTAATGGTTGTGAAGTATCTGGCACATATCAGATGCTTACAGGGTATTGTTCTTAGCTCACGATAGGTGGGGCATCATTCCACTGTCATACCTGCACCATGGGGCCTGATCGAATAAAAAACAGTAGGAGAAATTTAGAGGGAATTAGACTTGCTCAGCATCTGAGAGAACATTCTGGGCAAATATATCACCCAGCGTTGGAACTGGCTGTTTTATGGCCAGCAATCCTTTTCCTCTTGGTGATTTCAGATGCGCTGAGGAGAATTTCTGCTTGGCTAGGAAGCCAGACTAGACCTGTGACTTTCAAACTGTCCTGTGACGTCTCTAATGGGTTCCCATATGTCCTGGGGGTGGGGCTGGCTCTGGGCCTCCCATCGGCACCTCAGCCAGAACTGGTTTGTGTTTCTCAGCTTGCTTGTTTCCAAGGATTCTGAGATTTAAAAAGGTGTGAAAAATCACTGGACTAGAACTCCATTTCAGCTCTAACACTGCCCGGGGAGAGAGGGTGGGGGGCACCTGAAATGGGCACAGAGAATCACTGACTAGGATGGGCAGATGGGACTGGAAGCAGAAGTGGTCCAGATGGAATAAGTGAGCAGCATGATACAGAAAGCAGTCAGGCAGTCTCAGGACATAGTTTTATCTTAGGGGAAGCAAAGGTAAATCCCAGTTCTGTTCTGTGGGTCAGGAACATAGGAAGGGAGCAGGGTGGGTGCATTAGTGGGTGTTCCCTATCTGAGTCTTCAGGTTTTATGTCTCTTCTTTTACCGTGTGGACTGCTCACAACCATCCCAAAGCAAAAGCCAAAGCATGGTGGTGAGGTTAAAAAATAAGGCCAAGAGTCAAGAGATAAGTCTCCCTTCTATTCCAGTCTCACCTAGTCTGTCAGTGCATGGGCAGGGCTCAAAAAAGGTATGTTTCTGGAAGTAAATTCACCTAAAAGGTCACAGCTGGTTCAGGGTGCTGCCATCCCTGGGCTGGCTGCAGCACATCTGCATGTTCCCAGAACACCTGATGTCTTGTCTGCTTTTCTAAGAACCTGCCAGTCCCAGGAGCTGATAGCTGGTATGAGGGAAGAGCTCCAGGTCTCTGCCAGTTCCTGAGGAGACCTGTCTAGCTCTGCGGGTATGTGGCAAAGCTCAACTCCAGAGTGTGGCTGACTACACCAGCTGTAAGCACCATGTCTCCAAACTTGGTTTCCTGGGCACCAATGTCTTGGGCCTTTCCTCATCACAGAAAGGGGTGAACAGGTCAGATGCAGAAGCGCCTTCTTGCCCACCTGGCTGACTTGCTGAACCTCACCAGGTGCCAGAAAACCAGGGACAATAAGAATTTGACCATGACAAAAGGAATGCAAAGGCACCCACAAGTAGCTGCATGACAGGGCAAGCTATTCAGAGAAAGCCAACATCCAGAAAGTGAAAGAAAATTAAAATGCACTGCTGCTGGCTAGTCCCTCAACAGACTGGGCAGCCTAGTGGACAAGCCAAACTTCACAGTTTATGTCTGAGCAGTCAGAATCAAAACCTGCTTCTTTTAACTCTGTGCCCATCTTTTCATATTTTTACTCTGTGCTGGTGTGATTGGTACTGTTAGCTGCATAGTACTTGGGTTAACTTAAAATATACTTTTGGCGTTATCTTCTGATTTTTGAAGGGAGGCGATTCTGAGAAAACACCTTGTGGTAGATTTATGTTTTGTGATGTATGTGGGCGTGTGTGTGTGTGTGTGTGTGTGTGTGTGTGTGTGTGTGTGTGTG